CAGTAGCAGTAGTAGTAGTCGTCGTCGTCGTAGTAGCAAGTAGTAGTAGGAGTAGCAGTGGCAGTAGTAGTAGTAGTAGTAGTAGTAGTCGTGGTGGTGGTGGTGGTGGTGGTGGTGGTGGTAGTAGTGCTAGTGGTGGTCGTTGTTGTAGTGGTGGTTGTAGTGGTAGCAGTAGTCGTGGATTGTGGAGTAGGGGTTGTAGTAGTAGTGGTGGTAGCAGAAGTAGTGGTGGTAGAAGTGGTGGTATAGTAGTAGTCGTAGTAGTAGTAGTAGTAGTAGCAGCAGCAGTAGTAGTAGTAGTAGAAGTAGTGGAGCAGTGGCAGTGGGCCCTAGCACTCGTGTTGTGTTTCGGAGCAGAATGCAACCAGAAGGGCGGACAGGACAAAAGCGGAGCAGGACGCGACCGGAAGGGTGAGTGTGGAAAAAGATAAAAGCGAAGCGGAAGAGCAGAAAAGCGCGTACGAGCAGAAGAGCGAAGCATGAAAGCAGCAAAAGCACAAGCAAGAACAGACAAACGACAAGCAAAGACAATGTCACAAGCACAGCACAGGACAGAAAGAACAGCACAAAAGCAGAGGAGCAGAAAGCTGTTAAGCCGAAAAGCAAAAGCATAAACCAGCAGAAAACGACAAGCAAACAAAAGCAGGAGGTAGAACGAGCATAGGAAACGCAAAAAACACAAAAAGAAACAAACAAAAAACACTACACCTCCCCTAGGAATTCGCTGGGCTTGCTGCATCCGCCTTGGCACTGCCGGCCTGGGTCTTGAGACCGAACTCGACTGAAAGCCGATGTGGCTGAAAGCTGAGGTTTGAACAGAACTGGCCTGGGAGCCCTCGGCTGGCCCTGATGACGGGCTTTGCCCACCCGCCTGCCACTGCTTGCGAAATCGTTCGAAGCCCTACATTTAAAAGGGCTCTCTCATTCTGAAGGCCTGTGCGGGGAGCAGCACCGGCTCCAACGCAATGGTCGCCGACGAAGAGAGCTTTCCTAGCAAGGTGGCAGTGCGTCATAAGAAGTTTCACACGCACTCGGCTGTCGTTTTTTTTTTTTTCGGCGCTCTGCACAAGAATTGCTGTACCTCGGTCTTTCGCTGCAAAACGGCTCGAGTAGGCTGGATACGCCAGAATGTTCTGCCTTTCGAGGTACTGCTGACCGCTCTCTCAGCAAGCGATCAGTCTAAAGCGAAAGCCCGTCTCTTTCTGGTTAGAATACAGAAAGGGTCAACATCGTCTGTGGGCCTGATAAGAGACAGGGCATCCTGCGTGCCACAGTAACTGGAATCCTGGCACGACTGCGCAAGACAGCACGGGCTTCTGCTGTGGAATTTCTGTTCGGAGCAGACATGCTGCGCATGTAGGTCACATGCAGGAAAGGTGTCAGCCGCAGAACCCCGAGACTCTAGGATGGGCCAGGACCTGCACTGACGGTCACCAAGGCTGCTCTCAGCACCTGCTGCTCATCCGAACCTGTCAGAGGAGGCGTTCGGGATGGTTTAAACAGCTCAGAAGCCAATGTCACATCATCATGATCTGCACGTGACAGGCCTGGGGTCTTCAGAATCCATCCCGGGCGAAGCTCATTGCACACCACTTCCTGTTTGCACAACAGCAAGATGCGAAAACTACCTCAAGCTGCGTTTCGCACCGCGCTTGAACCACCTCTGCGAAGCTTCTTCAAGCCATCAGACCCTGGCCGTTGGTTGCATCCTGGCCTCTTTGTACTCCTCCGAAGGAATCATGGAAACTGCTTCGTGTAGCTCTGGGTTGAAGGGCTCGCCCACACTGGACATCTTCTCAATGCCGAGGGATTTCCAACTCTCCAACATCTTGTCAAAGAGCGCTTCAAACTTCTCTACGACAGCTTTCTGGCCGTCGGTTTCGATCTTCAAGTTTTGTTTGGCATATTCAAACTCATCAGCAATAGGAAGGAGCTCTTGCACCAATGGGACAGCCGCTTTACCGCGGGCGGCCGCAAGCTCCGATGACGTGCGTTGTCGAAAATTGTCGATTTCGAGCTTGAGGCGAGAATGTGCAGCTTGCTTCTCTTCCTTGACACCGCTGAGCTCTTCAATCTCTGCTTGCAGTTTCTCTATGTTGGCCTTGGCCGCATCGGACAACTCCTGGCACATGCAACAGCTGCATTTGGCTGAGCTTACGCTGGTATGTCGGAAATCACAAACTCACAATGCTCTGGAGCCTCTGTTTGCGATTCCGATTCGGAAAATCTTCGCACTGTCGGCCAAGTTCGAGTCACCCGGCTCTGTGTCGCAGCAGACCGAAACCTTGCAAACGACCCACTTCTTGAACGCCAGCGCTACGAGTCTGGAATTTTAGTTTCGAACATTGAGCATTGCATAAGTTGCTGCTAACTCGTACTTGAACTACCGGTACCAGCAGCACAGATAGGAAATATCATGTCAAACGTTCCATGGAATAAGTTTGATTTTTACCCGAGGCGTCTGAGCGACTGGACATGACACACAGGCTGACAGGGCAATCACGGGCCGTGGCAACAAAACCCAAGAGCATGAAGCATCCTGCAACGAGCAACTCAATATGTTTCGGAAACGCCCCCACAAATGTGGGTCAGGACACATATGTTATGCAGTTATGTCATACTATGCCGAGCGCTAGCAGCTACTAGCAGCTAGTATCTGATGAACCCTTGGTTCGGGGGCATGTGCCATGATTTTCATGCAATCGAATTTGAAACGAAGGGCTGCCCCGGTTCCAAAAAGCTCGTCTGTGCCGCAATAACTGCGGCTGCTATGCCCAAAGAGAGCAATGGCCTTCGGTTCGCCATGGCGAGCACCGCAGCACGAGCGGAGAACAGTCTATTTCGGGCAGTGCTTCATCCAGAACACCGGGAATGCAGATGGACATGCAGCCACACCGAAGCCAAATTTCCAAAACACTCTGTGCTGCTGGTGCCTTCACTGGACTCACCGGGAGGGCTCCACCTTAAAGTGCAAAGTGCCCTGAAGAAACGAATGAAACTAAACAAATCTAAAAGCAAAAACGGATTGCACCAGACTTCGTAAGGAAGGCTCTGTGAATCCGTGCTTCGCCAGCTGTATATGTCGGGCCTGGGTTCGGCAAAGAGTCGCTTGCATTTCGAGCGGTACAGAATGGTCCACGTGAAACACCCAAACCACGAAGTGTCACGCGTCATGTCCCTACTGAGCTCACCGCCAAGCCGGTGGTAATACGAAGGCCGCCTGTTGCAAACGAGTTGTGTGCAACATTTGGATCTCCGTCGTTGTCACACTGTCACTACACAGACAACACATGCGTCGTGGGAAGCACAAAAACACTCTGAGCTCGCATGATTGTACACTGCAGAAACAACAGTAGAGCGAAGAAACCTTAACCCATCCTCACGTAGCTAACCTTGCCCAGCCTGCACTGGCCTGGCATGGCGAAGCAGTTTAGCATAGCATAGCACATCATAGGCATAGCACAGCACAGCATAGCACAGGCTATACCAGAAAATCTCAATTCATCTCATTTACCATCCTAATCATGCCATTTCATCGCATGACATGGCATGGCATGGGACTGCACTGCACGGCCACTGCATTGCAACACCTTGCCGTACGCTGCCGGACCCACCAGCCGGCTCTGCGCCACCCGATGTTGCGCAGCCTGCGGAGCTTGCCCACACACACTCCGGCCAGACCCCGACGCGCTCCCGGGCCGGCGGCAGAGCCCCCCCAGAAGTCCTTCCCTGCCCTGGCCAGCGCCTTCCACCCGCCGAGGCGCCTGATGTTGCTGCACACACTACGTCCCAGCACCACCCACGCCCCCTGCAGCAGCTTGGTGCAACCAAGGCCCCCCTGCCGCGCCCGCACAGGGCCGCACGCACAGCTGGCTTTTCGTGCCTTTGCTGCATGCTGCCGTTGGCCGCCTCCACCCTGCTGCACTCACCGCCTGGGAAACCCACGGCTTGTATGCGCCCCTCTGGCAGCGTGGCCTCACCACCCTTCGCGACGCAGCACCCGTCGAACCAGCGGCGTTGGTGCATGCACTGCATACCTTGCAACAACTTGCTACCGAGGAGGGGAGAGCGCTCCCAGTGCCTGAGGCGCAGGTCTTGTTGACCCTCGCCGCTGAAGCTAACACCCTCCCCGCCAACACCCTGGTGCACTTGCTCTGGGCGTGGCAGCTGGTGACAATGCCTGACGGGTACATACCGGCCACCGTCCAGGAGGCGCTATTGCATGTCTTTATGGGGGAGCGGGCGGCATCGGCGCTGTTGCGTGACGTTGCTGCACTTCCTCGCAACGGCCCGGCCCCCGTTGCCGATGCCCCCCCTCCCCAAGCGCATGTTGGCAGCCAGACAGCTTTGCACGGCCACCCCTGTGCCGCACATGCCGAGCCGCAAGCCGGACCTCCCCACGAATCTCCCAGCTCGAGCACCTCGGACTGTAGCTCGACCAGCTCCAGCACCCCGGGCGCAGCTGACCCTCCGCCCATGCCTGATGCACCGTCCCACGGACATGACTCCGGCGCTGACGCCCGGTTGCGCTACCGGGCATCCTTGACCCTTTTGTAGCTGAGGATATCCTTGCGCAGCCTTGTCGCCTGTTCCGGGTCCCCCCGCATGGTGTGTTGCGAAGCTCCCTTCATTTGGCTTTGGATTTGATTCGGTCCTCCGCCCGTGCTCCAGCTGGACCTGATTTGGTCCGGGCCTGGAAACTCTGGTTCCTCCTTCCTCGAATGCCGTTGCACAGTGGTGCCCGAGACCCAAAACCTGTTCTTCTTGCCAGGTACCAAGCGTTCTCCCGGGGTGACTGGGCGTCGCTGCTTCAGGAAGCCCTTTCCCAACCCTCGCCTCAGGGGGCCAGTGGCCGCCGCCCGGCAGCCTCGGACGATGCGCGGGCACGACGAGCAGTGCACCTCGCACACCTTGGGGAGTTGTCCGCCGCCCGGCAAGCGTTGACAGCCGATCCGCTTGCACCGTCCACCGATGCCACCTTCGAGCAGCTCTCTGACCCAAGCCGTCGCCCACCTGAACCGTACGGCCCACTCGCCCCGGATTTGCTTGCGGGGCAGCCGCCGTCACCCGTTGCACTTGACAGCAGAGCATTGCTCACCAACTTACGCCGGGCCCGGAGAGGGGCTGCTCCTGGGCCTTCTGGGCTCACTGCCGAAATTGCACGTGTGGTCTTGGATGATGCGGTGTCCTCGCAGGCGTTCGCTGATGTCGCGACCCTGTTCGCGCAAGCGCACATCCCTGCTGCCATCTTGCCCGCGTTTGGACTTGGTCGGGTTGTTGCCCTTTCGAAGCCGAGCGGGGGTACCCGTGGGTTGGTCGTTGGCGACTTCTTCCGGCGCATTGTGGCGCGCACCCTCGCTCAGCAGTTTGCTGGCGCCGTCGAGGAGGCTTGTCCACACCAGTATGCCCTTGGCAATCGTGCTGGCTTGGATGCATTGGTTCATGCTGTGCAGGCTAGGTGCGCACATGATCCAAACCTTACTGTGGTTTCCTTGGACGCATCTCGCCGCGTACGACGGCATCAGCCGCCAGTCGATTCTTCAGGAAGTCCGGTCCCTCCCTGCTGCCGCTGCGCTGCTCCCGTTTGCTAGACTCTGGTTGGGTCGTCCGTCGTCCTTCGTGTGGCAGCAAGGCACCACTCCTCGACAGCTGCGCCAAGCCGAGGGCGTAGAGCAAGGGGACCCCTTAAGCCCAGCTCTGTTCTGTTTGGGTTTGCAGCCTGCTCTCACTGACCTTCAACGTGAGCTGCGCGAGGACCTTGGGGAACGCGATGTCACCATCCTCGCTGCCCCCGAGCGTGTGTTGCATCTTGTCCGTCGTTTCGAGCACCACCTTGCTCGTCACACTCGCTTGCGCCTCAATGTGGGCAAGACCGCCATCTGGAACGGCGCTGGCCTTGCCCGGTTTTGCGGTACCGCGGTGGGCTGATTTGCCCCGGCATGGCCCTGCACCTGCCGCTGACGATGCCGACCCCGATGACCCCGATGTCCCCTATCGGGGCTGGCAACGCTCTGCTTCTCGCGTCCTCGATGATCGTGCGTTTGCCGAGCAACGCCGCGCCGTCGGACCTGCGGAGCTCGCACTCCTGGACTCACAGTCCGGCCCCTTCGCCGCCAGGTTGCTCACTGTTCGCCCTGTTGCCCCAGAGCTCGCCCTCGACTCTGCGCTCTTCCGGGTCCTGCTTCTCCGTCGCTTGCGGATGCTTGCGGCTCCCTCTGCCACTTGCTCCTGCGCGATGCCGCTGTGGGCGTCCGCTTGATCCTTTGGGTGACCACGTCGCTGCCTGCCCTCGGTCTGGTGTTCTCAGGGCAGGGAGTGGGCCGCTGGAGTGTGCAGCTGCCCGGGTCTGCCGTGAGGCTGGCGCAGGAAGGTGTAGCCGGAGGCGTCGGAGGAGCAGGACGCGGAGGTGCGCCGATGGCACGAAGACTGCTGGGGACGTGGAAACGCGGTGAAGGCACGGGCTGCGTGAGGTCCTGCTTGCGAGAGCAGCAGCACGCGAGACGCGGGGTCGAGGTGAGAAAGGTGCGTCTCGAAGGCGCGGTCATCACAAGCGGAAGCGGCCGCGCGTTGCCAGCCACGTAGGGTTCCCTCTGCGGCTTGGGCACTTTGGATCATATCGCGTGCTAAGTCTCAACCCATGCCAGGGTCGCCTTCAGGAGGAGTTGTGGTGTCAGCTGGAGCTGGATATGTGGCTTCACACGGGCCACATCCAAGAAGGCCGCTGTGAAGCCTTGGTTTTGGTTGCAGCTGACCTCGCTGTGGCATCTGTTCGCCAATCCTTGGACCTGCCCTACGGCGCAGTCTTCACTGACAGAAAAGAAGCCTGTGACAGCCAATGGCGATAATGGCGAGTTCCAATTTTTTCAAGCTAGGCCCGCGTTTGGTGCATTGCTGATGACCTCCTACTTCAATGAGCGTAGTCAGACCTGGCATGCGATCGCGCCGGTTTGCTATCTTTTTGGGTACCGTTGAGGGCAGGAGGCTGTCTCCGTTGCAATTCTGCCTGGCTCAGGCAAACCTGGGCAAAACTGCTGAGACATGCTTGTGGGGTAGCTGCCGAAAAGCGTGCCGAAGACAGTGAGCCCCTATCCCCGACCCACACGGGGGTGTCAGCCTCGCCCTGCAGCGGGGCAATGCCTGGTGGCTCCTCGCTTGCCGCGTTCCAACCTTGCGTCTTGCGACTGTTGAGCTCGATGCGTGCGTGGGCCCACAATGCCCGCTGGCGACCGGGCCGACCGCGCGCTACATTATTCAGGACAGGCGGCTGGCAAGGGGCGGCTCCATGCAGGAGTCGGCAAGGATGTCGCTCAGCAGCGGGGCTCTTGTGACAACACGCATTCGTGTAAAA